GTATTTTTAAATATATAGTATTTTGCTACTTTATTGTTGATAGTGTAAGGTAGGGTGATGCTATAATAACTTTTTTTTTAAATACTTTGTGAAACCTTTTCTAAAACATGAATAATTGTGTCCAAAACACAATTTAATTTAAAATAGTTAAATTTTTAAAAATTTTATTTTTACAGAGAAATTCCTATTTTAATTTTTTTTGTTTTTTATTTTTTTACTGTATAAACTATAAATATAATTTTAAACCATACATGTGACCAAGAACAACTAATAAACTTAGCCATTTCTTTCAATGATTGCTTTTCTTTGGGGATTAGAAAGATATAAATTGCTTTGCTGTTCTATCTTGCTGAGAGAGAACATGGTTTGGAGCTCCAGTTTGGTTAAAATATTCTTATCCAATTAATGCCTGAAGAAAAAAATACATACACAATATGGATATATAATGCATACTTATCATTGATGTTAATAAAAAAAAAGTTTAATGAAACAAAGCCCAAGAGTTTATAAAAGAAAAAATTTTTTTTCATATCTCCCAGTCAAAATCAGAGGAGTTAAAATTTTTGTAAAAACATTCAAGCTGGAATAATGTATTCCTTATCCAAGATCTAAAGACAAATTATTGAAAATGATAAAGAATAATCAATAAAATCTGTACGCAGGAAAGCAAATATCATTAATAACATTAAGCTCACTTGAATCAATTTAAACAAAAAATCCATTGCTTTCAAGGGGGTTTCAAATTACCACCTGTGATTGTTGTACACAACAACAGCAATGTTTGGCGGTACAGCATAATATATAATAATATATATATATATATATATATATATATATATATATATATATATATATATATATATATATATATATATATATATATATATATACACACATGAATGTCTATAACATCTATAAATATTGTCACATGAATATCTATAACATCTATAAATATTGTCATATATATATATATATATATATATATATATATATATATATATATATATATATATATATATATATATATATATATATATATATATATATATATTAATATTTATATATATATATATATATATATATATATATATGTATATATATATATATATATATATATATATATATATATATATATATATATTAACCATCTTGCATGGAATATTTCTTGGCAGCTAGGCCTATCAATTTTTTTGCATGTAAAGGGATTTTTTGAAACAAAAAGTTATTACAATGTTCATAGTTTTTCTGCATGCTCAATTGAGTAAAATTGATATTTACCTATAAAAAAAAAAGGCATTATTTTGTATTTCTGTTGTAACATATAGTCAGTAAACTATAGACATATGTAATAACATATAACAAATATTTAAAATACTTACCAATGCATCTGCTTTTAGATCCAAAAGAAGTTTAAAATTCGAAATGTCTTTAGTGCCTGATTGAAAACTTTTCAACCTAAATTTCAAAGTTGATTTCCATTTTTGGCACTCTTCAGTCCATGGTTGACTATTAAATTTAAGCCAATTAAGGTTATCTTGAATTTCTTTATCTATATAAATTTTAAAATGTAAAAAATTTTCTCTATTATATGATAATTGTGCAAAGATAAATATACGATTTTATCAAAACAAAACTTATCAAACAAAATTTCAATGATTAGTTATATTTATATAAAATTTACTAAAAATATAAAACACAAAACACTATTTATAACAACTAAATCATATAAAGCATACCATCACTAATATCATGTTTTTCAACTAACTGTTGGTCATTAGAATTTTTTAAAATACCCGCTGATTTAATATTTCACCATGTGTTGCGAAGCTTTTCTGTCAATTTTCCACCAGCTATGGTTTTTTTATTTGTAGGAGCAGTATACCATGTTTCCTAACAAAGAAGAAATTAAACATAAATAGCATTAACAACAGTTTTATTAAAAATCATACAGATCACATTAACTGACAGCTCTGAAAGTTACTTACAATATTTTCTGAAGGAAAATGTGCAATAATGGCATTTGCTGATTCACAGATAGCTGCATTAGTCGGACGATGCCTACAGAACAATATAAAAGTGATTTATTTATGTATCAAAAATAATTTTATCAAATTTTCTTATGTATTTGCATTACTCAATGCTACCATGACATATATTTTATATACTTGTAACTTTAGTAATGGGTTGACAATAATATATATAAAAATAATATTGAAAACCTAACAATTTTTTTACTTACTGCAAACCTTTACTTTAAATAATATGGTTGACTACTATGCCAGCCTATTTGCTGCGTAAAGCAAAGGTCAGATTTGAAGCACTTAACACAATCATTCCATCTGTGCAAGAGTTTAGGGGCTATTCTGTTAAATTCATAAATTTCAGTGTTACTAAACAAAACACAATTAAAATTTATAATTTTAATTTTTTTTTTTTTTTTTTTTTTTAACATCTTCACTTCCAACAAGGCTGCAAGCAACCACTATAAGGGTTGGAAGTTACTGGAAGAGAAAAGACTAAATCTGTAGAGCAAGATAACGATTGACTGATGACTTAAAAGATTGCAAATTATATGAATCAGGAAAGCAAGATGAAGGAAGCGAATTCCAAAGAACTGATGTTCGAGGAAAAAAACTAGAAGAATAAGAGTTTTTGAAGCACTTAGGAGCAGTCACAGAAAAAGGATGTGACTTAATTGAATGGCGAGTAACACGAGAATGAATTTTAGTAGATGGCACAAGGGACGCTAGCTCTTTAGAGCAGTGCCCATTATAGTATTTGTAGAAAAGAGAAAGAGAAGCAACATTACGACAATGTGACAAAGGTTGGGCTGCCAGAGCAGGTCCAACTATGTTTACAATTCGTTTTTGCACCTTGTCTAAAAGAGAAAGAGCATCACCAGAAGATCCGCCCCAGATGTGGCAACAGTATTCCATACAGGGACGGATTTAAGATTTATAGAGATAGAGAATAGAATCTGGAGTAAGAAAGTGTTGAGCTCGATAAAGAGATGCAACCTTAGCAGATGCTAATTTTGCAATGGATTTGATATACGGTTTAAAAGAAAGATCAGAAGTAAGAGTTAATCCTAGAAGATGAATGGTAGATGACTCATCTAGTACATTACCATTCATAAATATAGGAAGATCTAAATTATTACGATAACGATTGGCTGAATAAAATTGAGTTTTATCTGAATTAAAGTTCACCAGCCACTGTGAGCCCCATGCTGTAGCAGAAGTGAGGTCCTTTTCAAGCTCAGATACCCCCTCCAAGCAATCAGAGAGTGTAGGCTTCTTATCATGACTAGAGTAAATGGTAGTGTCGTCAGCGAATAATGCCACCTTAGATGTGAGAATATCTGGAAGATCGTTAATGTAAATTAAAAAGAGTATAGGGCCAAGGATTGAACCTTGAGGAACCCCTGAAGTTACAGGGTGTGAAGAAGAGTGTTGTCCATCGAGGACAACTTTTATACTACGATTGGAAAGAAAGGACTCAATAATCTTAAAGACGTTACCAGCTACACCATAAGAAAGCTTATGGAGAAGACCAGCATGCCAAACTTTATCAAAAGCTTTAGAAATGTCAAGTGCGATAGCCTTAACCTCTCCACCTCTATTTAATGCACGGTAAAACCTATCGGTTATTACTGTTAGCACATCAGCTGTAGAACGAGAAGACCGAAATCCATATTGATGATCAGAAAGTATGTTATTTGATTCAAGATGAGAGATTAAGTGTTTGTTGATTAAAGATTCAAAAACCTTGCTTATAACAGGAAGAAGACTAATGGGACGGCAGTTAGATGAATCAGATCGCTCTCCGGAATTTTTGAAAATAGGGATAACAGATGCTGCTTTCCAGCATGATGGAAAACAAGACTCTGATAAGCAGTGAGGTTTGACCTGGAATCGTCGAAAGGAAATAAAGGATTCCATGCCAGCCTGAATCCACGAAGTTATGTAAGAAGCACATTTGTCAGCAGGAAGACGAAAGATTTCTACCCAAGGGCCATCACGAAGAAAATCACGGAAAGAGTCCCAGTCAGCTTTAAGGTAGTTGTATGTGGTACGATGATAGGGGGATTCTGATGAAGTAGAAGAATTTGATAATAGTTTTAGAGAGATCAAACCGTGATCAGAAGTACCTAAGGGTGAATGTGGAGAAATTGAGCACTGACTAGGATCCAAAACAAGACATAAGTCGAGTAGAGAAGGTAAATGATTAGGGTTGTCTGGAAAACGAGTTGGAAAGTTGACTATTTGAGTTAGAGATTGAGAAAGGCAAAAGTTGAGGGCCTTAACGCCAGCAGAGTCACTGACACTAGAGCCAAGCCAATCGGTGTGATGGGCATTAAAGTCACCAACAACGACGATATTGGCCGATGGATAAAGAGAGAGGGCTTGGTCAATTTGATCAGAAATAACATCAAGAATAGTGCAATCTTGGGATGAAGGAGAGCGATATAGAACAAAGAGAAAGGCGATAGAGTGAAGTTGTGCTAAACGAAAGCACATAAATGAATAGTCTGTAGATTCAAACCTAGTTTCACGACAAATGGGTGAGTTCTTACGAATGTAGATGCCCAGGCCAAGCATGTGATTATTGGAGTCTTTACGAATTAAAGGAAGATAACCATCAACACTAAGATCACAAGATGGGACAGCCGAACTCAAATTAGTCTCACAAAGAGCAAGTAGGTCTGGTGAACTTTGCAAGAGATAAGACTCAACAGAAGAAAAGTTACTTCGAAGACCACGAATATTAGTAAATGATAGGTTTATAAATTTAATTAATATTGGTGCAATTGAAATGCTAAATTTGGTTTCAAGTTTCCTTTATTAGTTGGAGATTTAGTTCCTTTTGATGACAATGTTTGGGTTGTTTTTTTATTGTTAAGATACAAATGATATTTTATCAATAATGCTAATTAAGTATTTTCTTCCACAGAAATTATATTTAAAGTTTAGATTAAATTATACTTATTAACTATTAGT